CGCCCATCTTGTCACCTATATACCCTTAATCCCTCCTCTTCCTATAGTGTGTGTACCTCTAGATTATCCCCCTCCCATTACTGTATTACCTATAGTACAACCCTTTCCTGTGAAGTATTTCTTTACCTGTAATTAGGGGGCTTGCACATCCCCTAAAGATATTTAAGCTTTGGTTAGCAATAAATCTCGCTCTCTCTCTCCTGCTCTCTCCTGCCCTGTACCATCAAGAGGAGCTGAGGTGAGCATGCTACTATGAAATGTGTCTGACTTCTTTATTTCACTCTCTCTCCTGTTGCTCTTACTCTCTATGACTTTATTATAATCTTTGTATATCTCAACCGTACAATTGCGCTTACTGACCCCATGATTTGTTGGGGGGGGACCAGCTACCCCCACAGAACAGGTCTTCTGCAGCAGAAGTACCTATGCAATGTGTTGTTTGATCTCTTGACTGCGCCTTCCATGAGCATTGATTGTGGATCCAAGTAAGACAAAAGCCTTGACAACTTCCACCTTTTCTCCATTTATCATGATGTGCCCTATTGGTCCAGTTAAGAGGATGTTGTTCTTCTTCACATTGAGTTGTAACCCATACAGAAGGCTACAATAATTGCTCTTCATCAGCAAGTGCTTTAATTTCCTCCTCACTTGCAGCAAGCACGTTTGTGTCATCTGCATATCGCAGGTTGTTAATACGTCTTCCTCCATTCTGATGCCGCATTCTTCTTCACATAATCCAGCTTCTCTGATGATTTGCTCAGCCTACAGATTGAACAAGATGCAGCCCTGCCGCACACCTTTCCTGATTTTAAACCATGCAGTATTCTCTTGTTCTGTTCACACAACTGCTTCTTGATCCTTGTGCAAGTTCTGAATGAGCACAATGAAATGTTTTGGAATTACCATTCTTCTCAAGATTACACACAATGTATTAAGGTTCACACAATCAAATGCCTTATCATAGTCCATGAAACACAAGTCAACAATTTTCTGGTATTCTCTGCTTTGAGCCAAGATCCATGCCACATCAGCAAGGATATCCCTTGTGCCACCTTCTCTTCAGAATCCAGCCTGGCAGTTCCTTGTCAGTGTACTGCTACAACTCTTTTTGGTTGACCTTAAGCAAAATTTTACTTGTGTGCGAGAGCAATGATATCGTTCTATAGTTTGAGCCTTCTGTTGGGTCATCTTTCTTTGGAATGGCCACAAATAAGGTACTTTGCCAGTCAATTAGCCATGTAGCTGTCTTCCAAATTTCCCGACATTCATGAATGAGTGCTTCCAGGGCTTCATCAGTTTGCTGAAAAATTTCAGTGGGTATTCCATCCATTCCTGGAGCCTTGTTTTTGGCTAGTTGGTAGAGGGTTAACTAAAAGGAGGACAATCTTCAACTAAATGGTGACAACAATGGGCTCAAACATTACAATTATGAGGATGAAGCATGATAAGTCAATGTTCCATTTTGTTGTGCAGCGGACTGCTGTGAATTAGAGCCTACTTCAGGGCACTTAACGAGAGCAACATTTTTTTAATATGACCTCAAGGATGTGTACATATTTGAACTGTTTTTCATGTTGGTACTGTTCCTTTCCACATAAAACAATACTGGTCTATTCAGTCCTGGTTTCCAGTATTTTATAGGGGCAATTAATTCAAATCGTGTTTAGAATCATGCAATGAAACCCTCCCTGCCTGCCAGAAAAGTCAATGGGCTTGCCTGCGTTCTGCACTGCATTTGATTCCCCTCCAGGCTTGAGTGTTCCCTCGGAAGAGTTCCCCTTTCCTTTCTGTTCTACTGGCAGGGTTGCTCCGGTCCAAGGGCTGTGCGCACTGGAGGACTTCCGTGCTTGGATGATCACTACAGGAGGGAAAGGGCAAGCACCTGTTTTAGGGTACAAAAGGGGTCCTGTCTCAAATATAGTTTAAAGAGATCACTTATTACATCTTAAAAGAGATAAAGGCAACACAAGACACAGATACACCACCTGGCTGAGGCCATTCACGCGTGTTTAACATGGTCCAAGAGTTTGTTGAGATAGCAAGCTTTCTGAAGGGCATGGGTCGGCAAAGGAAACTGACTGGTGGCAGATCGATACATCGCAATTCCAGGTGGGACTACAGAAGTAGGACCAGGACTGTGATGGGACATCATTAGGTAGAAGGGGTTCCAAGGTTGGTCCAGGCCCTTCTGACCAAGGCAGTCAGCATGAGATTGAGGTCATGGCTCATGACTATGTGACCTGTTGTACAGTCCCCAGTACAGTGACTTCCAGCAAAGACATACCTAGCCAAGCCCCTAAGAGAGAGACTCCCCTCCCTCCACTGGCCGGAGAGGGGATGGAGGCAACCTACTCTCCAAGGCATTTGACCTGAGGGCAATCTCCATCCTTGGATAGAAATCTGAAAGCATTCTAAAATCAAAAAAACTCACTGCCATCAGATTGATGCAGACACATAGTGACCCTACAGGAAAGGACAGAACTGCCCCTATGAGTTTCTGAGACTAACCTTTTAGGGGAGCAGAAAGCCCCGTCTTTCTACCACGGAGTGGCTGCTGATGTGGAACTGTTTGACCTTTTAGAGTGCAGCCCAGCGAGTATCCACCATGCCCCAGGGCTTTTCTGAAAGTGTTACAGTGGAGGCTTCATCTCTGCGAGGACTCTGCAAGTGGATTCTGGGTGGTCACTGCCACCCATAGCCTTTTGCAAGCCAGGGTTTCAGAGTTTAAGCTCTAACCCACGCCATACCCCATTTCTAGCATCTCTCTCCTGTCGCACAAAGCATCCTCCTTTCAGCAGCTGCCCTAATTCTGGATTCTCCCCATGTGACATCCAGGAAGGCCTGGGGAAACCAACCCCCTCTATGCCTGGAGTCCTTTAAAACATAAAAGGAGAGGCTATGTGAGCAAAACACTTTTTGTCTCATCTCTTCCTGTGATGGGAGAATGCAGAATTTGCCAGTTCTAAGAGGACAATGTCCAATAAAAACTTAAAAACAACAGAGGTAGGTGTGTGGAGCTGGGAGATAGGGAGGGGTAGGGGTTGGGAAAGCAAACAATGTATTCGGGAGGTGGGAGGGAGCGCTAGAACTGATTGTGATTATGCCACTCATTTTTAAAAGCGATTTAACCATGAAAAAAAAGTTATAAATTGATTGGGGTAACGATTGTATGATTCTTGATAGGATCGAACTATTGAATTGTATGATATGTGGATTATGTGCCGATAAAAATGGGGGGGAAATGATAAGGCGTTCCAGATCCTAGACTGAAGGTCCCAACATCCCAACCTCCTTTGCAGTTGGAAGCAACCCCCCACCCCACCCATCCATAAGCAACTGGAGGATAAAGGCTGAGTACCTTTAAGATGCGTTAAGCCTCACCGAGCACGATGCAGTTTCAATAAAAACTTTGCCAACCGAAATTATGAAGTTCCTAGGAGACTACTAAATCCAGATCTTAATTCTACCACTTATTAGATCGGTAACCTGAGAAATGGAATCAGAAGTAATTCTGACATCGCCGAATAGGTAGAAAATCAATCCTCGTGGGAAAATTCCTGTCAATTCCCTTTTTGGCAGGTCGCTACCCCCTAGAGCCTCAGCAGTTAAGCCCCCTCTCCTTGACCCTATTCTTACGCCGCGCAAGCGCAGCCTGGCGGCCAGGTCTAGCCTCGCGCGCGCTCGTGGGCCGGGGGCCGGGTCTCGCGATGCGTGTGTGCGAACAGTGCGAGCTGTGCGTGCGCGGCCCCGCGAGCACGCGCACGTCGCCCCTCGCAGACCGGGCTTGGGGTAGCTTCTTCCTCTGCTTCGGGACGAGGGACCGAGCGGTAGCCGGCATCTCCCTACCCCGCTGTCGCCACCATCTCTGCCGGGGGTCCTTGTCCCCGCCGCCCAGAGGCCGGGCTGGGCAGGGACGGCGCCGACCCGCGATTCCCAGCCCATGGGAAGCCCCTGGACGCGCTGAGGGGCCGGGCTACGAGCGGCTGAGGTAGGTGGGCGCGCGGGCTCGGCCGGCCGGCCGGCGGGGGACAGGATCGGGGCGGCGGGTGCCGGCGGGGGAGCCGCGAGGTGGATCCTGCGAGAAGGGCTCTCACACCGGGGCCGGAGCTCCGGCCTAGCGCGAGCGCGAGGAGGGGCCCCGGCCGCAGCCGCCCTTCCCTCGGCGGGGAGCCATTACTGGGGGGATGGGGGCTCCTGCGACGGGGGAGGGGGCGCCTGTTCTAGGCCAGGGGGAGGTCCGAAGACGCCCTCCTCCGTGAGCGCCTGCCGCCTGCCAGCGTGGAGCCTGCGGACGGCCGCCCAGGAGCTGGGGTTTGGGGAGGGTCCAGCACCCCTTCTTCGAGTTGGGGAGCCTGTCTGTCTCCTGCCGACTCGAGCCGGCGAATTCATTCCCAGCCGCCGTCGGGCACAACAGGTCCGCCTTCTTCGACGCCTCGGGTCCCACAAGGCTTCTGGCACGGAGGAAACGGCGCCGCGGGGCACAATCCAGGACCAGGAAGAGGACAAAGAAGGCCGGGATTTCTTTTCGGCCCCCTCCCGTCGCCTGCAAACTTTCCAGGCCCAGGGCCCGAGCTGCTGGCATTCCTTTTGGCCCCTCTGTTTCCAAGTGGACGGTTCCCTTGGAATCCGGAGGTCGGACCCATTCGAGCCCACCGTTAGCCGAATGCCCCGACTTCCACCGCCGGAGAATTGCGCCCGCAGAGCTTGGGTTTCGTGAACGGCGGGTCTAGTCCTTGGTGAGAGCCGCGTGAAGGGACTGCAAACAGTTGAGAGTCGTCCCCCCTGAAGCAGCAGTGGCCGCCACGTTCAAGAGGAGGGGAAGGAAAGGCCATACCCAAGGGCTCCTTGAGCCGGCGGGGACGACGGGTGGCAGCCTGCCCCATGGAGGCCTTCTGCCTTGACTGTAGGCTCAGGGCCCCTTCGTTAGGTGATGTTAGGTCTCCTAACCTCTGGTCGCCTGCAGTCTGTTCGCTAACCCTTACTGCTGTTCAGCCCCCGCTTTCGAGACTAGCAGGATTCAGTCCGACCCTTGGCAAGGAACGTGGCCTCCGACTCGCTAGAGCATCCCAGTGGGGCCCAGGTGGTGCCGGGGGCTAAGCATTAGGCCACTAACCCCAAGGTCGGGGATTCTTCGCAAGAAATGTGGCCGAGGTACTTTCAGTGAAATCTGTACTAGAGTATGGGAACAGTCAGAGATAACGGTAAGCGTTATTAACTGTCAAGCCCTTTAAGTGGGATAAAGGTTGTGTTAATAAGTGCAGGGCTAATGCTTGGTAGAAAGAGGTGGCTCTCTGCTCCGGTAAAGGTTGACAGCCTCGGACACCCGCAGGGCAGTTCTACTCTGACCAAAAAGCATACTGTGTATGTGAATACTGCAGCCTGAGTAAAGGTTTCCTAGCAAACCTTTCTTTCATAAGCTGAAATGGCATAAAGCGAAGAACAATTACCATTCATTTATATGGAAAAGGTTTGTGAGTGTTCTCAGACCAGCAAAATAACCTTTCTTTTGGCTCACTGCAAAATCCGAACACTAGTTTCACTTTTCACTACCGAACCCTCTCTCCCCCCTTTTGAATGTGAAAAGAAATAATTTGGAGTTTTTTTCAGTTAGCGAAAACAGGCACTAAATTGAGGCCTTTTGTATAAAGTTGCATGAAGTGAACTTTGGGAAGACGGGATACCATTCGATGATGATTATTCAAGTAGGATCTGATAGGGCTGATTCTCAGTGTTAGAGGCCTGAAAGTGGGAAAAGTTTGGTTTTAACTGTTTCTTTGGTTTTTTTTTTAGTTTACAATTCACAGGGTCCGTTGTCATAGAAAACTGCATGCCCTGTTTGTTAATCAAATTACTGAGTAACCGGAACACTAACTATTGGCAGCATCAGGGAACGATGACCTAAAACATACAGAAGATCGAAAATTTGCCCTTTAGAAATGTGCTAAAGTCAGTGTTCTCATTGTCTTGATAAGTAGTTATTGGAATCGTTCTGTTCCTGTCCGTTTATTTGGGTCCCAGTGCTTACAATTAACCTTTTATATATTTGAGCTATGTCAGAGGAAATAAATGTAATACAAACAAAATGCATAAATTCCTAGAGAAGATTGAAGGAACCTGGAGATGAGTATGAAATTTTTGGTCTTTATGACTGGTCTGATTTTTAAATGGTATGTGCTTTGCAATGTGGGCTTATGTCTGAGTAAAGACTATGTGGTAATATCTTGGTGCTAAATGTCTAATGTCAAGCAAGATGCTATATATGGTGACTGCTTTAATAAGGGGAAGTGTACGTTCAGAGAGTTTAGATACATCTTATAGGGACTGAAAAAGCAAAACTGTAAAGCGCTGAAGCTCATTGTAAGAAGAAACATTTCCTCTCGACTTGTAGTCCTATCTGTGGAAGAGAACTTCTATCTTTCTACCTCTTTTATTTGAACTTTCTGGCAGGTTGATCCCTGGATACTAAGATCATAAAAGAGGTCACTTTTTCTCTTAAAACCTGAGTGTTTTATTTCCATGTGGCCTTTAGTCCAACTTTTGGCAGTACTCAAACTGGTATTTTGATCCTATCTGTATACATACATTTTTCAGTTTATAACGCAGTGGAGAGGGTGTAGTTACTATTTTTGTAAATAGTGAGCACACGCAGAGAAAACTAATGCATGGTTTGCAAAAGAGAAGCATATAGCATGTATTTGTATAAAAATGTGGTAATTCCCCCACAAACCTCTAGTGGGGTTGCCATGCTAACAGCAACAACAGAAGGGTTTTCTGGGTACTTGGACCGAAGACTCACTGGCATGGAATTGATTTCTCATAGTAATACCCTATAGGACATAGTAGATCTGCCCCCGGAGGTTTCCAAGATTGCAGATCTTCATGGGAGCAGAGAGCCTCTTTCTGTGGAGCAGAAGGTGCCTTTGAATGGTTGGCTCTGCAGTTTGCAGCCCAGCATGTAATCCACTGTGCCACCTGGGCTCCTATTAAGAGAGAGGAGGGAGCTAAAAAGGTGAATAGGAATATTTTAAACTGAATCTTGTAGTTTCATAGAGGCTTTGGGTGGTGGTGGGGGCTAGTGGGATAAGTTCCCTCTCCTGGAAACCTTTGGCAATGTCTGGAGATATTTTTGGTTGTCACCGATAGGGTGGGGAGAGATATAGTGGGATGCTATTGGCATTTCGTAAGTGGAAACACGGGATGTTAAAAATCCCAAAACACACAGCCCTACCACAAAAATTAGCCTCTATAGTCTACAAATAAAAGGGAAATAGTAATAATTAAAATGAATAAAGTTTTGTAGAGAGGAGAAGGGTTACAGCCTTAAAAATCCTCCAGATTCCTTACCCGTCAGACCTACCACTAGTCTGAGTGGTTATAAAAGGGAGAAAAGTAAAATTGAAATGGACGACTTAAAATTCTTTTGTGACGTACAAGTTAGTTTCCCACAAAGAAAATGATCTGGCCTAAAGGATAAATGTTGCACTGTACTGACGTTGATTCTGAAGTCAGATTACCTGAGTCCATATTTGAGTTACAGCTCATCTAAAATTAGAATTTGAGCTAACTAAGGGATATAACTGAGTTCTCTTATATCCTTGGGAAATGAATAAAAAATTACTCCTTTTTTTTTTTT